GAGGTTATGTTCGCTAGAATCTGTTTAGAAACGAAATGGAATTCTTCTGTAGAAATGAAATTCGTCTTTTTGATTTTATTTTGGTACTAGGATGAAGGATAATATGTAACATCATCGAATAGGAAATTAAAAATTTATTTTCACGTATGGAAAATTAATGAAAAAATTATTAAATTTTCCACATGTGGTTGAATAATAGGCAGATGAAATATGGAAGGAGAATAATTTTAAAAGGAAATGGAATAAGTTTGAAACCAGTTTTCTGACTTGTTGGATGATTTTTGTATTTCTGAAAATATGAAATTGACGTGTCTGAATAAAAATAAGGAATTTTTGATTAGTATGTTATTTCATGTATTTTCACCTTTGTTTTTTAATGTGTATTTGTGAACGTTGGTGAGAAATAACGTTATATTTGTTTAATGTGTTCTTTTTGTTATAATTTTTGCGATACAGGATATCGCTGGTAAATTAGGTTCAGAAAGTTCGAGTTAATTTTAAAAGTAATTAGGAATTATAATAAAAGACCAATTAAACGCGGTTTTGTTATAAGGTTTCATAATTAATGGAGTATCTATTGTCCAGGGCTCCATTATTTGAGGAAACAGTATCTGGTTGATTCAGGCATATACTACCCTGGGTGCTTATATCTACTTCATGGCTTATTCAGGGCAAATCCTTCAAAAATTCATATACCATCGATATGTTCATTTTATCGTTTCTTTATAATAAAGCTACAGCAATAACTGTCCAAATTTTATTATTACGAGGACTTTACGAATTTATATAGCAATCGTAAAACAAATATTTGAGAAAAATATTTGATATTAGTATTATACAGAACATAAAGGAATAATAATTTGTTATTCCTCATTCACTTATATAGAACATCGTATTTTAATTAATATTTATATTATATTACTTATTTTTTACTTATATTACTTGTATTTGAGAATAATTATTTATGAGAATAGGTGAGTAGTAATTATATAATTTTATTTCAAAAAATTGTTATCATTATACGTTGATTTCGTCATTAGTAAAATAAAAGTATCAACAAATTTTTAAAATATAATAAATCAATATTAAAATGTTACTTAATTAACAGATAGTGGAATGAAAATTAGGTGAAAGTTAGTTATTTGTAATTATTCATTATTTGTTATTTATAGTATTATTATAGATAAACTGAATTGATATTTTTGCTTTATAAAATATACTATATTTTTGCTTTATTAAATGTTAGAATTTGCGCAGTTTTCATGCATATTTTAATTTTAATTTAGATTACGCGGGAAGCTGGAAAATTTCGTCGAAAGTTCAGCTTTGTGAAATAATTTCAAATTTTCACAGAATAACTGTGTTTATGAAAAATCGGATCAAAAATTACGAGGTTGTAACACGAGAAGGCTTCACGAAATTCCGACTTCACTGAGCTGTGTAAAGAAACCCTTAGAGATATTACAACACTCCCGGTATTTCAGTGAAAACATCATTAGCCCGAAATAAAGTTGTTAGGGTCGTGGTAGACTGGGAAATAGAATATAAAGCTGGAAAAGCTATTGCTGTGTACCTTGAGAACTTTATTTTGTATTTTAATATTCAAATCTTCTGACACTTATATCCTGGAAAAGAGATATCCAGTGATATGGTTCAATTAATTTAAATATAAAAATTCTGTACAATTTTCAAATTATAAATAATCAAAATATAAATCATAAAATATAGTTCACTATGAAAATTATAATTGATTATATAGGAAGAAAAGAAACATATTTATTGATATTTATTTATTATAAAAATATATTCAATTCATATATTTATTTACATTCATGTATCATAAAGTACATTTCATATTTTTACTTATTTGGAAGAATTAGCTTTGAAATCGTAAAAAAATTTCAGAAAAATTTCAAAATTGTGTTCTGCATGGTTTCTACCCTAAAAATTTAATATCTTTTAATATCAGTATATTAAACTACTATATTTTTCGTTAAAATATTTTTTTATATAAAATAAAGGAGATAGGTATTTCGCTTATTGGTGCACCCTATATATAGGATATAAAAATTACGTCTACTAAATTTTAATAAGGTCGAAACCGAATTTACTTCATACGTTGTGAACATTAATTAGAGATGCGAAGAGAACCGTTAATAACTCACGTGTAACTTTTTTTTATTGCTGCTAATTACTCAAGTAATTAGAGATGACTAACTGTATAAACAGCACCTTCTTTCTTTGCCTCTAAAATTGAATACGCGATAGGTGAAACTTGATCTAACGAGTGGTAACTAATTACCTAACATACAAGATGACTGACCTTAATCCGAAACCTCGGCACGCGAAATCATTTATTATGTATGAGCTTAATTCCAACCATTTGCAAAATCTATCATAGTAACTTTTGAAAATATAGAATTAATTTAATTACACTTGTAAAATCTGATTAAGTAATAAATCGTGATATACTTATACTTCAGCAAAATAATATTTCAATTATTACCAGCCATATCATTATACAATCATTTCTATACAATTCAAAAAAGTACAAGAGAAAGAATATTAAAAAAAAAATAAGTAATAAATGATACAACAGGAATCTAATTATTCCACCAAATACTTCTGTTGACACCTTCCATTGACGTTGACAGCTTCCAAGCAACTTCCATTCGAGACGCCATTTTACATAATATTTCTACAAAACATTTTCACAAATAATTTACAACCGGAATTCAGCAGATACAGCTCTGATATAGTACTTATACTTCAGCAAAATAATATTTCAATTATTACCAGCCATATCATTATACAATCATTTCTATACAATTCAAAAAAGTACAAGAGAAAGAATATTAAAAAAGAAATAAGAAATAAATGATACAACAGGAATCTAATTATTCCACCAAATACTTCTGTTGACACCTTCCATTGACGTTGACAGCTTCCAAGCAACTTCCATTCGAGACGCCATTTTACATAATATTTCTACAAAACATTTTCACAAATAATTTACAACCGGAATTCAGCAGATACAGGCCTGATATAGTACCCTAATATTTACGCGAACGTTTCATCGATAAATACAAACAGACAAACAGCACACGAGAAAGTACACTTAACCTCAAAGTACGTAGAACGTTCGCGCTGCCTAACCTCAAAAATGATAGAGGCTCCGTCCACACGTAAATACCTGGAAAGCGATAAAGGTAGAAAAAGAAAGGATCTTAAACCGCAGCTGCGAAGTGGTCATCGATCACTCGGAAATCACAGGTTGTACGAGCACATTCCGCCATCGTTATCGTTTTCATCGGGCCCGACATGACGTTCGAATTGATTCGAAGCAGCGAACGGACCGTCGCTCGGTGCGTACCGCGCGTTCTCGCGAGCATGAAAACCCGATGACTGGTATTGATCAAAAGCGAAGTATTTTCTCGCATGTCGCGTGTTCCAGTACAACGCGACACCAATTACGATTCTTTTTACACGAGTATATCGACCGGCGCGCCGCTCGAATATCTTATGACTGGACGTTTCGTGTAACGTGGCGCCAGAGGCAAAAGCCGGCAGCGGCCAGAGCGACACGACGAACGAACTGAGTGACAGGTGAAAAAGCCAACCATTAGAGGGCCCTTGAGCACCGGCACGCGATTCCGCGTCGCAACGCTGGCTATACGAGCGATTAATTATCGATTCGAATTTTAGTCGCGTCCGATTAATCATGCCGCAGCTGCGCGTGCACTTGAATTCGTTTCTATAATTTCGTTTCAATGAATTCCGCCGAATCGAAAGCTAGAGAACGTTGCTCCCGGTCAGTCCGCCGACGAATTTTCACCAACGAATGAATATTTCGCCGATAACGAATAATTTCCAGTTTGATTTTAATTCTACCGATCCATATGCGATCGGTGCCATCGTCGAACGTTCCTAGTCGATTTGGAAACTGGTTTATTTGTTTATTACCCGTGAACCGTGACACTCGCGTCACCTGGACACCACGCAGCTCCCTAGCAAAGAGCCGTAAACACTGTCATGGTCACAGCGGTCCGAATTTGTTTAAACATCCTCTACCACCGGGAAACGCTGAAACCAGTGCACACCCCTAACAGACGTGCACAACCGATAGGAAAACACGCACCCACCACTCACATTCCGCACCAACCGATCACGACGCACCCAAACTTATAGAAACACTGACACGCGAATGCAAACGGATTCGCACGCAAATTTCCGTGACAAGTGAACTAAAGTCAACCGACGACTTCGATTCGCTTCGTTATATTTTGTTAAAATCGGGAAATACCGTAACAGTCGCCAATTCGCGATTATTTTAAAACTCTGACCAGGTCTGGGTCATTAGAGTTCGATTAGACCGCAGCCTCAATACCGTTGCGTCAGCCTAGTGAGTCTTTAGCCTCGCGAAACTCCAGTCAGAGGGAGCTGCTGTGTTCGGGACGCTCCAGCCAGAGGGAGCAGCTGTGTTCGGGACGCAATAATATTTACTACGCAATACTTACTTCTTGGGGCTCGAATATGATTGAGAGATGATACTAGGTGGGGTTAGTGTGGAATATATTTTTTCAAAAAGTGTCCTTTAAGTAAGACACTCTATATATTGTATGCTACATGTAACGTATGCAGAAATTATAAAACCTTATAGAAAGTGCAATTTCTTGAGCAACTATAGACAAATAATAGCAAGTCTTCAAAGGGTAACTAAAAGCTTGGAATTCCTAGGGAATAATTTCCAATAACTTATTATCATTTTTAAATTATTTTATCGTTGGTTCGATTCTGGTATAGCAATGTCCGGTTAAAAACAATGTTAAGGTGTTAATCGCCGATTTTTAATTAGAGTTTATTATTCTCGTGGATATTATCAAACTTTGGATAATTTTGGACTGGTTAATAAAGCAAAGGTTATTGACAGCTGTTTCGCTTTTAATAAATAACGCGTGAAGTTGTTTATATGGTAGATGTAAAGTATATAAATTTATAGTATGTCGTTGGGAGCTATGAATAGTCTGTATGAGAGGGTAAACTCGACTAGGTGTCCGAGTTATATAGTCTTCTGAGAAACATCTCCGATAATGTAATAATAATATAAAGTCGATGGATGAAGCAAATATAAAAGAGGAAGGAGGAACGTGAAACTGGAGAAAGGAAATGTTTTTATTCCTCCTCGAAATAAATGAATACCTTCCCAATTGACGATGGAATTCGCGGACTAATGCGAAAGATGAAATTTCAAAGGAAAAATTATAATTCGGAGGCAGCTGGGAGTATATAAAGGCAAACGAGAAAAATGAGGGAGGAATGTGGCAGAATGAGAGAGGAATGAGGATTTATTTTACAAATTTATAGCATTAAATGGCTCCCTCGAAGCTTATAATACAACGAATCTGCAAAAGATTATTAAAATAATTTCTGTGGATAATTCAAATATTTAAACAATCACGTAATAATAAATATTACAAAAGATGTACTTGTAATAATTTTTAAACGTTATTTATTCAACATATTTTATTTTTCATCATAGTCTCGAAAAGGAATACGTATGTGAATAATTTAAAAATTATTTTCGTTAATTTTCTTGTCGTTATTGTCATTATAATTTTTAAAATGTCTTAATCTTCAGTCTGAACACTTCCATCTTGAAAGATACTTCAATTTATCGATACGAGTATAAATTGCAGGATTAAATTTATTTGGAATACGTAAATATTAATTACTATCGTTTCGACATCAGTAAGAGTAAGCATGTATAGGAGAATTGAATTACTATATTAAAGTGAAGAAATCCCGACATTCCTTGAAAATCGTCAGATTTTCGTCTGTCTCCTCGCAGTTGCTACTTCACATAAGTACCACACAGGTTCTCATAACGTTTGAGTCCCGGGAATTCCGAGAATAAAATCATCCAGAAGATGCTTCTTTGAGTTTATTTCATAAATGTGACAAAGTAGCTTATTTTTCAATATTCCCCTCGAATCAAATCTGCTGGATGCCGGCAAAACTAGGGCGTGCAAATGCCAAGATATTCGAGGAACAGCGCCAACTCCTTCGTATCGTCATTCGCGCCTTTATTTAATAAATTCGACGAAACGATAGATAGGAGTTAGCACGATGGTAGCAGCAAGTGAATGCAGGTTATAACGTGAACTATCGTCGATTTGCGAGAATCAGTTTGTTGATGCCGAGGTTATGAGTTCGTAACTGGACTGGGCTATTAGAACTATCGGAATGACTGAAACTATTAGAACTTCGTGCAGCTGCACCGAGTAATTGTATGCACTGTTCGATGTATCGTACATACGTAGAGGAATATTCGGAGCAAGAGGTTAATTTTAACTTGAAATGCAACGAGTTGTGACAAAAATCACGATTTTTCTCGCCTCCGAGTAGAGACAGTGTGAGAGCAAGTTGCTACATCTGGGAGGCACACCTTATTTTTCTTCTCACTA